GGTCAAAGTCAAAGTCTAGTGTTCAAACCACTATGCCACACTCCTCAGTATAGTAGGGCCCATTATTATGTGAGGGATCCATTCCAGGACCCTTCATGTATAATGAATTTTTGTGTATAATCTGGACCACTGTTTCTCTAACCTGAAATGAACAACAAAGTATTATCTCTAGGCATTTTCTAAGTCCTCTAGCATGATTATATGTATGCCCCCAACAGATGTTACATAGAGTCATGCTGGAGGGCCTAGAAAAGTGTTTTCTCTAGGGATTTTCTAGGACCTCTAGTGTGATTCTGTGGTATGCTTCTGCCAGATGTTGACGGGGACAGTGTGCAAATGCATCTAACAAGGGACCCACAGGTCTTCACGTATAACTGAAACTCCATAATATAATACAGAGTCCTATTGTACAGAGCAACTCCATTCCTGTTTGTCCCTGCATTTCCATTCATTGTTAAGATTAAAAAGAAAATATCAATTTTCTTTAAAAATGAACATGTTTGTATGAAACACTTTAAAAAATTAACCTTCTACTATCCCATTTCAATAGTTACTTAAAACAAACAAACTCTGAATTCTACAAGTTGTTGTCCTGTGGTACAAAACACACTTTCTTCCTATTCATCTTGTCACCCACAACACAATATGGGGAAGCTGCACAAGGCACTTGAACTATGTCATATTCCTCTTTTACCATTTAAAGAGGCTGGCTCATAACTATAAACTAAATCATTTATAATTACATTACAAAAGGAGTTGTTATTCCTCACCAAGCTATAATCCTAAACCAGAATTCTGTTAAAAACACCAGCACATGTAAATTTTACTTATGTGTGAGGATGCCCTTTCTTGGGCACTATGGGAATTGGTATTCCCTTTCCCACTATGCAGCACCCAAACAGCCACCCTCACCTACTGATAAACCCCAGACATCTCCTCATATGGCCATTCACATGCATTTGTAGCAAGGAAGCAGTTTCAGAGAATCATCTGGCTACTTTTTCATAGCCAGGTGCAAAATAATGACATAGCCGCTGAGATCTGACAGAGTCCTCCAGGTATCTCAGTGCTATTGTATTCATTATACATCTGACTATGTGGGAAGTAGACTGATGCTTCTGCCTGATTTTTGTGAAGCATGGAATGGCTGTGGAAGATGGTATTAGGCTTCTCAGTGCATCGAGAGGAGGGTAGTATAAGTCTGCCATGTGGATATTTGTGCTACAATGAGGAGATGTAGGATTGAAAATAATAACAATAACAACAACAATAATAATTTCTTACCCGCCTCTCCCCATGGATCGAGACAGGGAACAACAACAGTTAACAGACATACATCTGTTAAAACACATCACTTAAAATACACATCAGTTGAATTGAAGGATTGAATTGGATTGAAGCTATAATGTAACTTCAATAGCATGTTAGCACTTTACATTTCAATAATAATAATAATAATAATAATAATAATAATAATAATAATAATAATAATAATAATAATAATTTTTATCCCGCCCCTCTGCAGCGCAATCGGGGTGGTGTACAACAAGTTAAAACATTGCAACAAGTTAAAACAAGATCCAGTATACTGTTTCATAGCGAACTAAGCACTTTCTAAGTGGTTTACAATCTGTAAGCCAATTGCCCCCAACAAGCTGGGTACTCATTTTACTGACCTATGAAAGAATGGAAGGCTGAGTCAACCTGGAGCCCTTTGGGATTGAACTCACAACACTGTGGCTGCAGTACTGGCATTTAACCACAGAGCCACCAAGTCTCTTAACTGAAGGAACTTTAGTTATTGCAAAAAAAAAAAAAATACTTACAAGTTACCTCCAAACTTTGATTATGCGGTTGCTTGTTTTGAGAGTGGGGCCAAAATTATCTAGGTTTTGGGTAAATGTGGGAAGATACTGGAAATAGCAGAAAATGAAGTTCAGTGTATTTTGTTTTTCATTGGGCTTAGATGTCTTTGAAGCATCTTTTTTTACCCTACTGAATCCATTGCATGTGTCAATGTCTCTGTTGTCATGAACACTCTGGGCAAGATGCTGCTGGCATCAATAGAACATCTGGGTCAAATCAAGAATGCATCCAGATGGAATACAGCTGATCACTGATAATTTTATAGGGGCTCACATGAAAACAACTTTCCGTTAATAGCAAAGGGTAATACAGAGCTAACTTTCAGAAATGACAGTTACTAGAATAGCTGGCAAAGAGGTGAGGAAAGACAACCGAGTACCTTCTTTTGGTTTTCATAGAACGTGATCTTACCATCCATTTCAAAATTCACATACAGTCAACTATGAGGCATGCTGAAGCCAGTTGTGTATTTGATTGTTTTTTACGCCTCTTTTGAAAAAGAAGGGCAGGCTGTACATATGAACCATTACAGAACTGGGGGAAAGGAGTAGACCTTTCACTTTATATTTCAGTTTTCATAAATACCAGCAGAAATAGGGAAGCAACCACAATAGAAAGAGTTTAAAGTGAGAATCTTAACTTTTCCTAGAAAGAAGCCCCGCTGAGCACAGTGGAACTAACTTTGAAGCTAATGTGCATAGTGTAGTACGGAACAAAACCTTTCTTCCCCAAACACCAGTATGCTTTGTGACTGCAAGCAGCAAAAGCTAATGTATTACTGCAGATTGGAAGAATTTAGTTTATTTTCCAGTGTTTAAAGTATTCTTTGTCAAACTCTTTCTCACATCCTGCAGTGTCCAAAAGAATGAATTACTTGGGGGGGGGTTACTGCATATTTATTTAAAGGATTTTTGCCCTGCTGTCCAGCCAAAAAAACCCCCACACAACCTAACCCAAAGAAGAATTTAAAAAGAACATAATGAAGCAGTGCAAAAAAGACACTATTTTGACACAAAAGGAAAGGGTTTGAGAGAGAGACTGAGAGGAGAGAGAGAGAGAAAAAAAACAAACCCGATCTCTAGTTTTGGTTTTCAAATTTCCTAAAATAACAAGATGAAATTTATACTGTTCAGAGAAAGGACTGGCCAAATGTTACTGGTTCATGAGCAAAGCTTTGATTCCATCCCTCTGCTATAGCCAGATAGAATGGCTACTGTCAGGTGAAAGATGGAAGAGCTAAATGTCATGGCGTCTCAGCAAACATGATGATAATCCTGCCTTCCTTCAGTTGCTCTGCTACGACATATGCTACTTAGGCCTAAATCTAATGTTGCATTAGTGGCTGATTGCAAGCAACATTTTCTGCTAGCTGTTTTTCTTGACCTCCTCTCATTTGCATTTTTTTTCACTACCCAAAAATCTGTCCTGGGGAATTTTCCAGCCCTCTGCAACACATTTTTAGTGCCATACCAGGGGAAGATAATGGTAAACCTCTTCTGAACAAATTGTGCCATGAAACCCCCTTGATTGGTTTGCCTTAAGGTTGCCATAAGTTGGAAGCTACTTTAAGGCACACAACAACAAACCAGGGTTGTAGAGGGTAACCAGCCCCCCTCCCAATTTTGCTAACAGAAGTAATTATGCCAGTGAAACAACCATTTTGGATCCTGGCCTTAGTTTTTACTTTACTGAATTGCTTTAAAATAAATACTTTCTCCCTTGTTAAAAGGAAACTATTGACTTGCAAAGTTGCATTTCTGATCTTTTTTAAAAAAAAAAAATAGAACACAGAAGGTTTTCAGATCATTCATTTGGCAAACCAACAGTTTCAGGTTCAGAGCAAGACGAAGGCATAGAGGCATCTAAAAGTAACAGGAAATATTTATTTTTAGCCACATGGTTTAATCTTTATGTAACAGACTTCCATGAAACAATCTTTGGATGCCTGAGCATGATGTTGCAAAGGGGTCTGCATTTTCTATTCAAGTCCATTTGCTTTCATCAAGAAGCAGTCAATAGCTCTAGTTGGGTGTAGAACTAACCTACATATTTCAAAGTGTCCTTCCTCTGACTTCTTTGGTTTTGTACTCAGTGTGAGTAAAGAAAGTGAACTTTTGCTTCAGACTTCACTTCCTTGTGATCTGCTACAGAGAGTCTTCTAAACAGATTGACTAGTCCATACCAGATTTATTCTTCATCCTTTATTCCTTTAAGTGTAACACTTCCTTCTCTGTCTTGGGCAAAACCTTCTAGATCAGTAAAAGGGTACAAATTATGCTATGCTTGGTCCAAAGGAAGTTCTGACTATTCCTGATATTGACCTCTGACTCGCCTTCCAATTTCATTTTCAAACTATTTTCCTTTTAAAAATTATTATGATTTCCCTTGTTTCATCTATTCACCTGGTATTTTGCTAAATCTATTAATTCTTTCAATAGTTATGATATTTAAATTGCATCATAATTTGTCTCATCTTCCCTCTATCTCTAGTTATATTAATACAGTTGTATTAATGAATAGCTGAAATTGTACACATCCAGCAGTAAGAAAAAAATTGAACACACAATTTCATACAGAGAGCACTTAAATCTCTCTCTCTCTATCTCCATCTCCATCTCCATCTCTCCCTCTTCATATACACATCCATTCAACCATGTGAAGTAGTTGAAATTGCAGACAGTAAGAAACAAAAGTGTTGATGAAGATGTACTCCTAAAACATTGGGCAGAAATACCCGGTTGTCTCCTAAGTTTACTCTAGCACTGCAGTAGTGGGAGTACATTTATGCTCAAGATATATTTTATGACTGGTTTCGTCTTTGCTTAGGTTAAGATGTGTGACTTATATACATTCCTAGTATTGTTTAATCTTTTTACAGTGAACAGCATTTATTTGTGTAGTATTTAAAAAGTGTGGGTTGGATAAGAATTTCTGTTTGTAAAAATTCTGCCAGAAGCAGAAGGGAAACATTGGTTTTATGCATTGCA